GGCCAACCTAGGAGCAGTGATGTACTTGTAGTCCCAGCTATTTGGGACGCTGAGGCAGAAGGAGTTTGAGGCTGCAGTGAGCTATGATGAAACCACTGCACTACAGCCTGAGCAACAGAATGATACTGTCTCAGAAAAATAAAAAATTCCAACTTCTCTTTCTCTTAGAGTTATTATTTTAGTAATATGTGGCTACATAACAAACCACTCTGGGCCGGGCGCGGTGGCTCACGCCTGTAATCCTAGCACTCTGGGAGGCCGAGGCGGGCGGATTGCTCAAGGTCAGGAGTTCAAAACCAGCCTGAAAAATAGAAAGAAATTAATTGGCCAACTAATATATATAATATAAAAATCAGCCGGGCATGGTGGCGCGTGCCTGTAGTCCCAGCTACTCGGGAGGCTGAGGCAGGAGGATCGCTTGAGCCCAGGAGTTTGAGGTTGCTGTGAGCTAGGCTGACGCCACGGCACTCACTCTAGCCTAGGCAAGAAAGCGAGACTCTGTCTCAAAAAAAAAAAAAAAAAAAACCAAACCACTCTGAATTTATAACAACAATGAGTTATTATTTCTCATGATTCTGTGGGTTGACTGGACTCAGCTGCACGGTTCATCTGTTCTATGTCAGGCAGAAGAATGTTACCCATGTGACTGCATTTGGCTGGGAGGTTGGCTGAGGCTAGAATGTGTAGAATGGCCTTTCATTCTTGGGGACCTCCTCTACATGGCCTCTCATCACTCAGAAGTCTAGCCCAAGCCTCCCTACAACACGCAGCTTTCCAGGAGGACAAGCCCCAACGTGCGAATCTTCTCCTCAAGCCTTTGCACCCGTCACATCTGCCACCCCGTTGTCCGAAGCAGGTCACACAGCCAAGCCTGGAGTCGACCTGAATGGGACATACATGGGCATGGGTTCCAGAAGGCATGATTCTTTGGGGACCACCCATATAACAGTCTCTCATGGCCATTAATTAAATATTAACAGTGAATATTCATTGTTTTAAAAATGTTTTAATAGATTCAAAGAACGTCACAAAAAGGTCTTTTCACATTTATCGCCTCATTTTGCCTAACATAACCCCTGAGGAACAAACAAATCTAGCCTATATTTTACAAAGTTGGAGACTGGGGCTCAGAAATCTGGACACCTACTTAGAATTTACTAAAATCCGACAACTAGGAAATGCTAAACTTGAAACTTGAACTCGGGTCTCATTACTACAAGTCCTGTGTTTTTCTGCCATATCACAGGTACCTCTGGCCTGTACAACCTGCGTTATATAGTATGATTTCCATGTCTGATCCTTCCAGGTTTTGAAAATTTCTTAACAAATAAATAAGAAAATCATCCATTTAAAATATTCTTTATTGGAAAAGAAGAACAGACCTACCCTAAACCCAGCAGAAGAAGTGAAATCATTAAGATCAAATCAGAACTAAACAAAATTGACAACAGGGAAACTATATGGAAGATTAATAAAACAAAAAGTTGGTTCTTTGAAAAAACAAACAAAATTGACACACCATTGGCTAGACTAACAAAAAGCAGAAAAGAAAAATCTCTAATAAGCTCCATCAGGAACAATAAGGGACAAATTACAACGGATGCCAGGGAGATACAAGATACGATTTATGAATACTACAAAAACCTCTATGCACACAAACTGGAAAATGTGGAGAAAATGGACAATTTCTTAGAAACACACAGCCTCCCTAGGCTCAACCAGGAAGAAATAGAATTCCTGAACAGACCCATATCAAGGACTTAAATTGAGACAGCAATAAAAAACCTTCCTAAAAAGAAAAGTCCTGGACCAGATGGTTTCACACCCAAATTTTACCACACCTACAAAGAAGAACTGGTGCCTATCCTGCAGAAATTATTCCACAACATTGAGAAGGATGGAATCCTCTCCAACACATTTTATGAAGTGAACATAACCCTGATACCAAAACCAGGAAAGGATGCAATAAAAAAAGAAAACTACAGACCAATATCTCTTATGAATATAGATGCAAAAATTCTCAACAAAATCCTAGCCAATTGAATCCAGGTGCTTGTCAAGAAAATAAACCATCACAACCAAGTGGGCTTAATCCCAGGGATATAGGAATGGTTCAACATACACAAATCTATAAGTGTAATTCACCATATAAACAGAGGTAAATCAAAGACCATATGATCCTCTCAATAGATGCAGAAAAAGCATTTGACAAAATTCAACACCTTTTTATGATAAGAACGCTCAACAAAATAGGCATAGATGAGGCTTACCTAAAAATGATACAAACCATGTATGACAAACCCACAGCCAATATCATACTGAATGGGGAAAAATTGAAAACATTCCCACTTAGAGCGGGAACAAGGCAAGGTCACCCACTATCTCCACTTCTATTCAACATAGTGCTGGAAGTCCTGGCTACAGCAATCAGACAAGAGAGTGAAATTAAGGGCGTCCAAATGGGGGCAGAAGAGATCAAACTCTCACTCTTTGCTGATGACATGATATTATACCCAGAAAACCACAAGGACTCAACCAAGATACTCCTTGAATTGATAAATGAATTTAGTAAAGTCTCAGGATACAAAATCAACACACAGAAATCAGAGGCATTCATACACGCCAACAACAGTAAAAGTGAGAACCAAATCAAAGACTCAATTCCCTTCAAAATAGCAACAAAGAAAATAAAGTACCTAGGAATATATTTAACTAAGGAGGTAAAAGACGTCTACATGGAGAACTATGAAACACTGAAGAAGGAAATAGCAGAGGATGTAAACATACTATGCTCATGGGGCAACATAATCAACATTGTTAAAATGTCTGTATTACCCAAGGTGATCTACAGAGTCAATGCAATCCCTATTAAAATACCATCATCATTTTTCACAGATATAGGAAACATAATATTATGCTTTTTATGGAACCAGAGAAGACTCTGTATAGCAAAATCAATCCTAGGCAATAAAAACAAAATAGGAGGTATCAATCTACCAGACTTCAAACTATACTACAGGGCTATAGTAATTAAAACAGCTTGTGACTGGCACAAGAATAGGGACATTGACCAGTGGAACAGAACAAAGAACCCAAATATAAAACCATCCTCATATAGCCATCTAATCTTCAAAAAAGCAGACAAAAACATACACTGGGGAAAAGAATCCTTATTCAATAAATGGTGCTGGGAAAACTGGATAGCCACATGAAGAAGACTGAAACAGGACCCACACCTTTCACCTCTCACAAAAATCAACTCACGCTGGGTAACAGATTTGAACCCTAGGTGTGAAACTATTAGAATTCTAGAGGAAAATGTTGGAAATACCCTTCTAGACATTGGCCTAGGCAAAGAATTTATGAAGAAGACCCCAAAGGCAATCACAGCAGCAACAAAAATAAATAAATGTGACCTGATAAAATTAAAACGCTTCTGCACAGCCAAAGAAACTGTCAAGATAGCAAACAGACAACCCACAGAATAGGAGAAAATTTTCGCAAGCTACACATCCAATAAAGGGCTGATAACTAGAATTTATTTAGAACTCAGGAAAATCAGCAAGGAAAAATCATACAACCCTATCAAAAAGTGGGCAAAGGACATGAACAGAAATTTTTCAAAAGAAGACAGAATAAAGGCCAACAAACATATGAAAAAATGTTCAACATCTCTAATCATCAGGGAAATGCAAATCAAAACCACAATGAGATATCACTTATCTCCAGTGAGAATGGCCTTTATCAAAAAGTCCCCAAATAATAAATGCTGGCATGGATGCGGAGAGAGAGGAACACTCCTACACTGCTGGTGGGACTGCAAACTAGTTCAACCTCTGTGGAAAGCAATATGGAGATACTTCAAAGCGATACAAGTAGATCTACCATTTGATCCAGCAATTCCACTACTGGGCATCTACCCAAAAGATCAAAAGTCACTTTGCGAAAAAGACACCTGCACTCGAATGTTTATAGCAGCACAATTCACAATTGCAAAGTTGTGGAAACAACCCAAGTGCCCATCTATACATGAGTGGATTAATAAAATTTGGTATATGTATACCATGGAGTACTATTCAGCTTTAAGAAACAATGGTGATATAGCACCTCTCGGATTTTCCTGGATAGAGCTGGAACCCATTCTATTAAGTGAAGTATCTCAAGAATGGAAAAACAAGCACCACATGTACTCACCAGAAAATTGGTATTAACGGATCAACACCTAAGTGGACATATAGGAGTAACATTTACCGTGTGTCAGGCAGGTGGGAGTGGGGAGGAAGGGATGGGTACATAATGAGTAAGATGTACAATGTTTGGGGAATGGTCACGCTTGAAGCTCTTACTCAAGGGGGAAGAGGGGGCATGGGCAATATACATAACCTTAAATTTGTACCCCCATAATATGCTGAAATAATAAAAATAAATAAATAAATAAATAAATAATCCTTTATTTATTCGGGTTTTGGGAGGGGAATGCCCCTAATCCCCAAGACTTTAATAAAGATCTTATAACAGAGCTATTAGCAATGTTTATTTATTTGATACAAGTCCCAACTAAGCCAGATGGCTATTTGGAGGTAAATCCCTGAAAGGGGATTTATTTAGACTTTGTGGCATCCAATTTTTTTCTGAGGCACAGAGCTTCTTTCCTGCACCCTAGCCCCATGACGGAGAATTCCAGCCAAACCTCCCAGGCCCAAAGTTCCTTAGGCATTTATATGACTGTCCAATGTCCATACTAACAGGACTTGTATCACTGGGGTGGAGTCAAGGTAGGGTGGCTTATAAATAAAAGTACTATGTTAAAAAAAAAAGTACTATGTTGAGAAAGTATCTGGAATTACTCTTATTATAGCTTGTAATTCCTGGATGCTTAAGAATAAATCATGAGGAGATTAGGATCAGATCTGGCTCAGAAGTGCTACCCGTGGTGCTGTTGCCATGGTAATCAGTGGCCAACAAACAGCAATCCAGGGGACCTGTAGCCTCTGCTGTTGTCATGGGCTGGAATGTGCCACCAGGCCTTCCCTGGATGAGGTGCTCCACTGATGAATGGCCTCTGCCGGGTCCTGTCCCATGGTCCCATACTCTAGGTCCCCAGTTTCCAAATGACACTTTTCATTAGGAATCTCAGCTACCTGGGACTTTGATTCATTCCCTTCACTTTCCTTGTCACTTTCCTAGTATGGAGAGAAATAAGGAAATGTTTAGGTGTATAACCAAGTACTTCTGAATTCCCTCACCTCTAGAGACACCCATGTAAACAGCTTCTCCTTTAAGCAGTCTCAGGCTTCACACTCAACCACCTTCTTCTACAGCCCATCTCCGGGCACCCTAACTTCACAGGATGAGGCAAATAGGAAGAAGTATCATGAGGTGAGGAGCATTAGAAAAATAAGTCAGTCTACCTATGGGAGCTCAGTGGAATTGCAGTACGCAATTACCAGGTGGAAAACACTTTTCTTTTTTTTCTTTTTTTTTTTGAGACAGAGTCTCGCTTTGTTGCCCAGGCTAGAGTGAGTGCCGTGGCGTCAGCCTAGCTCACAGCAACCTCAATCTTCTGGGCTCAAGCAATCCTCCTGCCTCAGCCTCCCGAGTAGCTGGGACTACAGGCATACACCACCATACCTGGCTAATATATATATATATATATATATGTATCTTTAAAATATGGAAATAAATCTTAGGAAAATTTCCTATTTATGACCTACTAGAATTTTACATTGAAAAATTAATTACCAGTGTCATCCTGATTCCAACTCTATCCAAATTCTCTGTATAGAGAGCAAGGCACTGGCTTCCAGCACATTCCTGTGTCCACTACAATCTGGAAGCCCAGGCGGGAGCACTTTAACACTGCAGTTTCCTCAGGAGCCCTGAAGGCAGCTAGGTCCCCATCCCTGCCATCTTACGTCAAAGCCCAACACGCAAATCACTGTGGCCCTTCTGCTCCATGCTCTAAATCCAATATTGAGTTTTGGTTCTTTTATCTGACCTAATCTCCTATTGTTCCGTCCCTTCAAAACATGTCACCTCTTCAAACAATCTTGCCTTAACTAAATAAAGCACAGCGCTCTCTGGGGAGGGGGGCATTTTTTCTGCCGATGTAGTATGGTCAGACAGAGCCCAGTAGGTATTCGCCTGGGGCCCTAGTTAGTGTAACTTCCAAATTACAAATCTCCACCTTTGTGTGAAAGTACTGATTTCTTGGAAGTCCATGCCATCTGACTAAATCACCCCATCATTACTTTTTACTGTAACTTAAAGATTCCCTTGTCACTTTCATGGCCCCAACCTGGCCTCGCCAGTCATCCCTTCACAGCTCTCTGCAGGTGTCTGCACGCGCCAGCACTCCTGAGTCTTCTGCCAAGTCCTTGTGCTCTTCCTGCTCTGACAGCTGTGACAACAAACTGTGATTGTGGCCACATTTACTGGTCCGTCCACTGGATATGGAGCTCCTGGAAAGCACAGACTGTCATTTGTCTGCATGCCCCAGCGTGCAGCACAGTGCTGACCGTGTCGGGCACTCAGTAGGTACTCAATAATAATCTCTGTGATGGATGGATGAAGACCAATGTCTCCGAGCTACATTTATATTTCCTCAGATTCTTAGTTTTCCTTGTCATCATATTCACAAGATATGCAAGATAGAAGGAAATGAGTAATTAGATGTTGCCAATCGTGTTCTAAAGAAATTGGTGAAAGTGAAGCAGAATAAGATTTAGTATTTCATCTGTTGTGAATAGTCGTGTAGGGTAGGCCATTCACTATACCTTTATAAGGGGTCAATAAAGTTTGTATTGACCCCTCATGATGAGAGAACTTAGAACTGTGTCATACGATAGTAATTTTTTTTTAATTTAGAATTTATTCACGTGAAGAGTCAACTCAAGGAAGAGACCGGCTATTGTTCTCAAATATTTGAAAATCTGTCCGATGAAAAAGAAATGTAAACCCATTTTGTATGGTTCTAAGAAAGACAACCAGGATCAATGGGAAGAACTAAAAGTAGACAAAAATTGGACCAAGATAAGAAAGAATTTATTAACAAAGTTGGCAAAAGACGGAAGCATCTGCTGAAGCAGTGAGGCCTGCACCTTTGGAACCGACCATGGCTTCTTCAGAACGCCAGGGAGTGGACTCAACAGTTGAAAGTCTCATCTAACTCCAAGGATCTGTTAAGTATATATTTAGGAGAGAAAAAAAATAATCTTAATAGTACTTACTAGAGAATGAGGTGCTTACTATTCATCCTGCCCAAAACCGTAGGTAGGGGCTCCATGAAAGTTTAGACTGAAAAAAACAGAAATCAAGATAGAATAATTAATAACAGATGTGGCGATTGCAGGGACTTTTATGCAGAGATTTCAAAATGCTTTATAATATGTTCCATTTTCTCTCTTATATATGAGAAAGCTAAGATTATCAAAATTACAAATTGCCTCTACATGGATCTAGAAAGCAAACAAGGAGACCAAAGACTTAGCTTAAAACTATATTTTCTACAAACCTCATCTGGCTCAATCTGCCATTCATTCCGTCCCCACATTCCGTAACACTGACCGAGCTTCCAGGGTCTAAGCTAACGAGGTCAGGTGTTGAATTCGGGCTTTGATCCTCTTTTTCTTCCTCCTCCTCCTCCTCCTCTGTGCTATATTCTTCCATGAAGTCTCCATCAACAAAGTGGATAATCCTTTTGGGAGTAGTCTTTTTGGAAGGTTCACTCTTCTCTAGTTCTAACTGCTGGAAAGTGTCTTTCTCCATTAGGAAACAAAACAACTAGTAAATTAAAAACAGGGCACCTTAGGGCAAGTGGCCCAGAGCAGTGTTTATATAGCTGAGAGTTGCGTAGTTATTTTTCACGAAGATAAAGAGAGAGAGTTGAGAGGTAATTACAGCTGTGATTTCATTGATTCTTCAAATCTAAGAAAGGACCATTCAGTTCTGTACCAAAATGGAAGAGATTCAATTAGTAGTGAAAAATGGGAACTCTGGATCTTCCAACAAGAATGTAAACAGGATTTCCTTACCTTTTACTAACTCCACAACCTCCAACCACGAGTAGCAAGGGGCCAACGTCTGCCCTGCTGAAGTTTCTCAATCATTTCAATAAATATTGAGAGGCAATCTAGAGAGTGGTGAGCACAGGCTTTGCACAGACAGGAGAAGATATTTGCAAAGTATATATTTAGTAAAGGACTTATTTTCAGAATATATAAAGAACAATTATAATTTAAAAGGTAAAAAACAAAGAAGTCAATTAAAAAATGGGCCAAAGATTTGAATAGACACTTTACCAAACATTTACAGAGGACAAATAAACATATAAAAAGATGCTCAATGTCATTAGTCATTAGGGGAATTCAAATTAAAATATCATAACATACCCACTAGAATGGCTAACAAAGACTAACAAAACCAAGTGTTAGGGAGTATGTGAAGCAACAAGAACTGTCATACATTGCAAACAAGAATGCAAAATGGTACAGCCACTTTGGGAAACAGTTTAGCAATTTATTAAAAGTTAAACATATACTCTTATAATTCCATATCTAGATATTTATCCAAGAGAAAGGAAAACATATGCCTCCTTTGTATGTGAATTTGTATGTGAATGTTCATAGCGGTTTTATTTGTGAACACCCCAAACTAGAAACAATTCAAATGTCTATCAGTTGATGGATAAACAAAATGTGGTATATCTAGTTAATGAAATACTACTCAGCAATTAAAAGTAATGAACAACTAATATTTGCAACACTATGAGTGACTTTCAAAAGCATTATGTTAAGTGAAAGAAGCCAGACATTGCATTGTATATAATTCCATTTATGTGAAATTTTAGAAAAGGCAAAATTATAGTCAGAGACAGACCTATGTTTGCTAGAGGTGAGGTAGAAGGGAGATGAGATTAATTACAAAGGGTCAAAACTTTGGGGGTGATGGAAATATTCTAATAGATATCATTGTAGTGGTGGTTAACTTGACTGTATACATTTGTCAAAATGAATTGAATTCTACATTTAATATTAGTTAATTTTATTGTATTTAAATTATGTCTCAATAAAGCTGAAAAGCTTTGGAGCCAGTCTGCCTTGATTTAAAATCCTATTATTTAATAACTGTGCCTCAGTTTCCTCATCCACAAATTAATAATATAGAATGATATAGTACCAACCTTATAAAATTGTTATGAGGAGAAATGCATTAAGACACAAAGGAATTAGAACAATTCTTAGTAAATAGTAAGTGTTTAATAGCAAATAGCTATTATTAATTACCTATCATTTATTGAATGACAGGTGCATGTGTGCGTCAGACACAATTCCCATCAACTGATATTTAATGTAAGATTATATCAGCAAATATTGCAGGCTGAGCGGATGTGGAATAATTCCCCTTCTTGTTCCAACCACACGGAAACGCTGGATAAAATTAAACAAACAAAAACATTAAATCTTAACTACACTAAGGAAGTAAGAAAAGAGATAAAGAAATAGAGATGAGAGAGAGAGGAAGCAGCCAGCCTAAGTGTCAGAAATAAGAGAAAATGCAAAATCTCAAGTGCGAGCTGAAGCCAGGGCGGTGCCTGGTGTCGGGGCAGACACCGGCCTTGCGACTGGCGTAGCAGCAGTGGCGAAGAAAGGAGACCCACTCACAGGTCTCATGAGTGCGGGGGCTGAAACGAAGCTGCCTGCATAAAACTAATGAAATACTGTCTTACTTATAAAATATGGACTAGAAAAACTACTCCCTGGCCTGCAAAAGTAGCAAAGTAATTTTCCATCTGGCAACAGGGGTAGAAATAGTCACCTGAAAAAATTAGAACCGCAGGCCAGTACCACATGCTGGTGTGTGGCCCAAATTCACAGTCCTCATAGTATGAGGACCAAAAGTGAAGCTGAGTGACCTAAAGGCAGTGTAACAATGCAAATACAAAACCTTGGAGGGATAATTTATCAAGACAGGGTATACTGAATCTCCACTATAAACAATTCTTATGAGGGTGTGCTTACGGCTGGACTTTGCAAACCCCATGAAGAAACAAGCCGTCATGGGGAAGGTGAGAAAGAGGAAAGAGAGTGAAGAAAAAGCATGATCGATAGAAACACTAAATAAAACGAGCAATGCTTTCAAATAAATTGGTAATAATAAAATAAATATAAATGGATTGTCAGCCATCTATTAAAATGAAGACAGCAGATTGAATTTTAACAATGTTTCATGGGTAATACAAACATGACTGAATACACACATATATTCATATATACATAAGTATATGTGAATAAATCACCAAATCTTATTGCTACAATGCTGAATTTATGCCATTGTAGCATAGGTCAGAGTTGCAAAAGGCCTGTCAAGGGTTAAATTTGTCCACAGCAAGATGATGTGCTGTCTGCCCCATTCAGAGACCTCTGAATGATACACATGGTTTCCCTGTCCTATTTAGTGCTGCTATATCACAGAAGAGCCTTGGCAAGAAACAGGAAGAGGGGTTACCATTTAGTTTCTGATGCCAAAGAACAGGAAAAAAAAATCAATTTTAATTTGGTATGTAAGACCAACAATATGCTAAACATATTACTATCATAAAAGGAAATTATCAGTGTCATAAGAAAACACATTCTACAATGACAATCAAAAGAAAATCAAAACATTTTCAAAAAGTAACTCTCATAATTCCTCTGTATTTTTCTCTTATTGCTTTAATTGTTATGTTTGGTGTTGAAAGCAGTACAAAATCTAATGTTAGAAGTTGTCTGAGAGATGGTAAGTTAAGGGTTCAGGGTTCTGGAGGCTGAGGCCACACAGAGCCCTTGAACATGCAGACGTGGAAGTGTTCTTTTGTGTGTGTCTTACAGGGTGGAACGTGTTTGAGTTGTGGGAAGGCCTGCTGTATTTACACATTCAACACTAACTAAGCCCAGTGGCTCGCAGCAAACAGATCTTTATATTAGAATCATCTGGGGGTCTTTTAAAAAAATTCCAAAGACATGCCACACCCCAGACCACTTAAATCACAACCCCTGTGGGTGGGACACAGGTGTCTGTGCTCACTGAAGCTGCCCAGGTGACCCCAACGTGCAGTCGGGTTTGGAGTCCAGCTCCCTAAGGATAGAGAGGGAAGTAGCTTCCAAACTGAAACAGAAAGAGACTGGTGACTTAGTGATCTGGTGTATTGCAGAAAGCTTAAACAGCAGGCTAGTTCCAAGATACCTTGTCTACTTTTTTCCAGGAGGGTTTCTTGCTTTCTCCTTTCTGAGCCCTCCTCCTCCTCACCCCAGGCTAAAAAGCTTAAATATCAAAAGTTTAAAAATAAGGCCTAGGCCAGCACGGTGGCTCACGCCTGCAACCTTAGCACTCTGGGAGGCCCAGGCGGGCGGATCGCTCAAGGTCAGGAGTTTGAAACCAGCATGAGCAAGAGCAAGACCCCGTCTCTACTAAAAATAGAAAGAAATTAATTGGCAAACTAAAAATATATATAGAAAAAAATTAGCCGGGCGTGGTGGCGCATGCCTGTAGTCCCAGCTACTTGGGAGGCTGAGGCAGAAGGATCACTAGAATCCAGGAGTTTGAGGTCGCTGTGAGCCAGGCTGACCCCACGGCACTCTAGCCAGGGCTACAGAGTGAGACTCTGTCTAAAAATAAAATAAAATAAGACCTAATAGTCTCTTTACAGTCAATTTACTCAAGACCATCAAAACCAAATGAAACACACACACACACTCCCAGCCCCCACATACCTGGCTCACCCCTATTAAATAACAGACTGATGGTATCTGTTGGTTCCCTGAAGGAAATACTAGTCTCTGGTCTTGTGATTATGGTATTGTGCATTAAATAGACAAATACATCTTTCATTCCAGAGGGCTCCTCTGGACATTGGGGGTGGGGAGCAGGGAGGGTGGAGGGGGCAGAGAGAGGGGGAAAGAGAGAGGGAGAAAGAACACACACCAGCGAGCTCACAGTTGATTTACTGAATGTTTTTCTGCCACCTAATGGGCACTTTAGAATATGCTTTACAAAATTCATCTTTGTAATCACAGTGCCTGTCATACAAAGGGGGCTCGAGAGTGCACAGTTTGGAACCTACTTACCAGTATTTTATTCACAAGAGCTTTGGGGGCGTTGCCAACTTCACACCAAGCACCTAGACGCGGATGTTTGTAAGTGACCTTTCAGAAGACAAACACTCCCTGCAACAAGCTTTCTACCTCAGTTTAATTCTTATGAGCACCTCTAACTTTGTTTCTTAAAAACCCCAAGTCTAGATGATCAAGGATAGTCCCTAGGTATATAATGTGTATAACAGGCCACACGCTCTGTGTGCCTTTCAACACTGTGTAGCGCGCCGCGGCTCAGCCATGGGACCTCTTCTCTTCTCTCTGCTTACTTGATGATCTCTTTGGCCACATGGCTTGAAATACTGTCTACACACAAATGACTCCAGTGTTTATATCCTCCAGGTCAGACTTTCCCACTGAATCTCACAGGCCCAACTGCCCTGCTGACATCTCTTCTTAGATGTCCAATGGACATCTCAGTCCTCATTTGTCTAAGTCTTTGCTTGTACTTTCAATGCAAACTCTGTCCCCCACAGCCCCCACCCACCACCACCCAACACACTCGCAACTTCACCTCTACTCCTCTGGAAACTTCTCGTCCCAATAAATGGCAACTCTATTCTTACAGTTGCTCAGGCCACAAACACTGCAGTCATTCTTGATTCTTTTCCTTTAATCACACCTCACATCAAATCCATAGGAAATTCTCTTGCATATTTCCATACTTCTCACCATGATTCCATCACACTGCTCACCACTCTACTGCCACCACTGTGGTCTAAGCTATCATCTCTCACTTAGATTATTGCAGAGGCCTCCTAATCGGTCCCCTACAGTCTACACCGCAAAACAGCCAGAGCTGTGAAATCCTAAGTCAGATCAGGTCACTCCTTTGCTTAAAACTAGCCATTGGGTTTCCATCTCGCCCAGAGTGGAAGCCAGTGTCCTCCCAGTGGCCTGCGTGGCTGTGTACCTAACGCCATGGCTTGTCTTTGCCTTGTCTCTCCCCCACTGACATCACTGCGACCCCACCAGCCTGCTCCCTGCAGTTCCTTGACCGCCTAGCGCCTGCAGGGCCCTTCGTGCTGTCTGCTCTGTCCTCCCGTCTCCCTCCTTTCTTCAAGTCTCAAATGGAGCCCACTCCGCGCTCTCTTCACTTTCACAGCAGCTTCTTATGCCCTTTACCACCATTTGACATCTTACCTCCTCTGCCTTTTTGAGTCCATATTTCACTTACCTCATTTGTCTCCCTCTTCCCTCCCCTCCCCGTCCTGCCCTCCGCAGAGTGGGAAGGGTTTTCACCTGTGTGTTCACTGCTGTTATCTTCTGCCCCTGCCCTGCCAGACACATAGCTGGAGCTCAGTATTTAATAAGCGAGTCATACATTTACTTAATGTTAATGGGTGGGGGAAGGTACTACATATTTAATAGATTGGAAAAATAAGGAGAGAACAGACTTGTATACTACTTGTCTTTATTTCCTGCTTTTAAAATGACTTGTCCTTCATTTAACATTTTTCTCATTATTTCTAAATACTAGTCATTTTAATATATTCCTTCACTGAAACAACATTGTAATCTCTACCCAAATAACACATTGCACCTTGGCATTTAACTTTAAGAAGGCAAATAATAACTAAAATTTTGTAGAGTTCTTTTAGTTTTTATTTATGTAGAAAATGGACCAGGTTAAAATGCAGCAAAGAATGGGAGCTAGGTGAGGACACAGAGCTAATTAGCACTGTTCGCCTGGTCCCCTCCTTCTTCCACCTCTCCCTCTTCCTCTAAGGTGGGCTTCAGGTCAAACCTCTGGTGTGAGCAGAAAGAAGACACCCGAAGCCCCCCCTCAGCTCAGATGCAGAGCTTCACAGAGCAGTATTCAACACCATCTCCCTAGGCCGGAAGGAACGGGCCCACTCCAGCCTGCAATTTGCCCTAGTGTGTGTGTGTGTGGGGGGGGTATAAGGCAGAGCAGGGAAAAACATAAAATATGAATAAGCAAACACATGTATAACACAAACCACTGATGCTCCTTGGGAGTTACTGACAGAACATCACCTGTCAGAAATTTTCTTTTTTATTTCAGCATATTATGGGGGTACAAACGTTAAGGTTACATACATTGCCCTTGTCTCTCTCCCCCCTTGAGTCAGAGCTTCAAGCTTGTCCATCCTCCAGACAGTGTGCATCGCACTGTGTATGTAAATACCCATCCCCTTCCCCCCCACCTGCCCCACACCGATAAATGTGTTTTGTTTTTTTTTAACATTTTGGTTACATTTTATATCTTTGCCTCTCCCTAGCAAGGGATAGAGGTATGCCCTTCCCCTCCACAATGCTCCCCACATCCCTCCGATGTGGGAGTACCCCCCAACCTCCAATCCCTGGTGAACAGCACCACCCTTCGAGCACCATAGTGTTAGTCAGTACCCACTTGATGGCATGTCACCTCACTTTGGATAATGGGCTTAAACTCAATCCAGGATAATATAAGTGGTGCTAACTCGCTGTTATTTCTTAGAATTGAGTAATATTCCATTGTAAACATATACCAAATTTTAATAATCCACTCATGAATTGATGGCCATTTTGGTTGTTTGCATGTCCTTGCAATAGTGAATTGTGCTGCCATAAACATTCGGGTGTAGATGTCTTTATAATAGAATGTCTTGTGATCTTTTGGGTAGATGCCTAAGAGTGTTATTGCTGGGCCGAATGGTATTTCTATTTTTAGCTCTTTGAGATATCTCCAAATTATTTTCCACAAAAGTTGCATCAATTTGCAGTCCCACCAGCAGTGTAAGAGTGTTCCTGTCTCTCCACATCCTCACCAGCATTTGTTGTTTTAGGATTTCTTAATACAGGCCAATCTCACTGGGGTTATGTGATATCTCATTGTGGTTTTGATTTGCATTTCTCAAATGATTAGCCATGTTGAGCATTTTTTTATATGTTTGCTGGCCATTATTCTGTCTTCTTTAGAAAAGTTTCTGCTCATTTCTGTTGGCCGTTTGCACATGCACCCAATTACCTATATGTCTGTCCATGCCTGTCCCATTGGGGGGTTTCCCAACTTTTTTTACATCATGGCAGATGATGTAGAAAGTTCTTTGTTTGAAATTCTGGTGGCAACCAGCCTGGAAGCTCCAGCCACCTTAGGTCCTGCCCAGCTAGCCACCCAGAAGGCTTCGTGAATTAGCCTGAGGCAAACTACTCCAGAAGCTCTACCTTAAAAAAGCAAAAGGAACACCTTGAGAAACAGTGTAAGCTGCCTCTACCTGCAGCACATCACAGGCGCTAGACACATTTAATTGCAGAAGTGATAGCTCTGGCCTTTTGGATTAAGCACAAAACAGTTTTGCTTTATAAACTCCCCTTCCAGATTAACTATGTTGATCCCTTTGTGTGCTACTAAAACATTTATTGTTTTAGCTAGCCAGCTTTTTTGAACCATACTAAAATATTTTTAAATAAAAATCTAAATTTTAAGCAAATTACTCAAATGTCAAGTAAGAAAACAGTCTTTAGATACAAAGTATGGTAACCCAAAGTGACATTCCAAGTTTATTTTCATACAGGTTAAGAGATAAGAAATGCAAATTTTCTAAAGCATGATTACTCTGGAAAATAAGAAAATATTTCTGAATATGGTTTTACTTCTGAGTACATTTATATAGCACTAAAAATGCCACCACAAGTTTGCAAAATACAAAATTTTCTACGGATTATTGTATTACTTTTGTAATAAGGATAACACAAAACAGTGAAATTTAATAAATTATTTTTTCCATAGACAGCAAAATAAAATTATTGCTCCATTTATTCTGGAATCGGCAGCTTCAAATATTAAATATTATTTTGTAAGAATTAGCATTTCTGTGTATTAAGGAAAAAAACTCACTGATTTCATGTAGCTTTTATTAAGGAGTATATGATTTAAGTAATCATTTATTTGAATGATTTGATTCAGATAAGCATAATCTACTCATTCTTCATAATGAAATGCACATTTCTATTTTAGCACTTTATGCAGATTTTATTTATTTTTCACAGGGTTGCTGTGTGGATTCAGTGGTTTATCTATGTAACTGCCCAGCACAGCACCTGGCACACAGTAATCTCTCAATATATGTTACTTATATTATTTCTATTAAGTGAATTAGTCGGTCATTTACAATAGAAAAATTATCTAATGCCCTAGAAGAATAATCAAAAGATAAGCCTACAGATGTGTGACGTTTGTTAAAGTATGATGCATCCACTATTTCCCAAGTTTGCACCTATACTAACTGTTTCAAATATTACAATCTATTTTTAAGATCATACAGTTTGTCTGTGTTTGTTCTCTATATTTTTGTTATGGCCTTTGGCCTAAACCAATACAGTCCTGACAGAATATGTTAGAAAACCATATAAAAACAATGCACACTGAAATCAGGTAACAAAGGCATTTTACTTCTTTAACAAAGAAGTAGAGAATTACCAGTGTAATTCAGGACAACCTATCACACATTTAAAATTTTTTCTTTATATCATGCAATATTTGAGTTCTTCAAAAAACATTTCCATTCTTACTACCTTCTCTCATATAGAAACATTAAGAGCTGTTACAAAGTTCTGTCCTCCAAGTAAAAAACCCATTAGAAAAGGTACTTGTAAAATCACTGCATGCTTAGTGAGGCTTCATGAAACACAGGGCTACCAGAATAGGGAGACCTTCTTAAAGGTCTTAACATAAACTTAGAAACACTGATTTTTGAGTAAATTATGGATTCTAATATATGTAAAAGATTTGGTTTGATGGTTTTCTGATCTTTAACTATAAGTGACCTTTTTCCCCCATCAGAAAAGATAACTCAGAATATAATGAGTCTGTGCTCCAACTGACACAATGGTGAGGGGAAAGAACTCTGCGAGCCCGTACTTGCAGCAACTTGAGACGCTGAGGCAAGAGGATCAGTCGTGCCCAGGAGTTTGAGGCTGCAGTGAGATACGGCCGTGTCACTGCACTTCAGCCTGGGCAACAAAGTGAGTCTCTTGTCTCAAAAAATAATAAAAATATTTTAAAAATCCAGGTATTAGGAAGTTAAAAAAAATCTAAAACAAAAAAGCTGATTCCTGGCATTCTTCTAGTGTTAATAAGTGGAAGGAAAATAAACTTTTTTGTGAAGATAGAAAAACATACCTGAAATGATATGATTAGAGCCTATATTAACTTGAAACTTATTACTACCCAGTGTAAAAAAAAAAAAAAAAAGACCCAACCCTCAAATACAACCTTTAGAGACACAATAAAATCTTTCACATGTTGTCCTGATTAAAAAGGAGATTCAAAAGCAAAGCATGTAATATCTCCACTATATTAAAAATCAAGAACAAATAAACTGAAGGCAGATTCCCACTGAATGTAATAATTATTCTACAGACTTCACGGAAATCATTTCAAGAAATATGAACTCAAGTTCCATGGTTTATCTTATTTACTAGTAGAGAATTCTAAGTGCATATTGTATTTCAGGTGTATTTTAGGAGATGCTGCAGCCAGTGTCCTTTTGAGGTTTGATATCTGGCTCTTTCACAGGTTTCACTTCTTCCTCTGGTTTGGGTTTGGTCTAGAGAGAAAGAAAAATACAGTGTAAGTATAGAAATTAAGATTTCAAAAATAAACATTTGATCTTTTCTACTTCAGACTTTTAAAAGATGCTATCTTAAATTATATAACACTGATAATAACAAAGCTATTCCAGGAGCTACATTATCAATCCATCTTAAGACATAATTAAAAGCAATATTTCAGTAAGATGAAAACCTAGTCTCACAGGCAAAAATCAAGCTAATGGTACTCCTAGCCCCACACTATTCTGAGTGATGAATATGCATGAAGAACAGTAAAATTTAGAAATAACTTGTGACAGTTAATAGGTTACCTCTTAGGACATTATTTTACAGGCTGAAAAGGACATAAAGATGGTTATTTTAAGAAATAATGGTTTTAGTATGGAACGAAAATTACATAAAAATGACCCAATTTCAAAGAATGAGTTATGGCTGCAAAACAACTCTACTCCTTCTGCCATGGGTACCTAGTCTTTGGTAGTTAGGCCTCACCATTCCCACTTAACCTACCATTTGATTTAGAATGCCAAGATGTACTTAGATCTAAAAGAATAAAAGCATTTTTATTTTATTCCTGGATTCATGAAATGCTTAATTTAGGTTAAATCTTCAAACAATTTGCAATATGCTAAATCCAAAACAGAATATTACTATAGCAGTATAAACATGGATAATGTTTTCTTCCACACTCTTGTTAAAAGAGGCATTAATAAGTTGTAAAAAGGTAAGATAATGTGTTAAAAAGAATGTCAATGATGTAGAAAGTAAGAAGACATTTAAGGCCTAGAGGTCTTATCTCTGACTCTTCTATGACAGATTACACTGTAATTAGCTAATTTAATGTTTAGATAAACATGTATATATTTAAAGTGAGAAGAATATCAATATTCTAACTCTGAACTTTCTTTTTAAACTTTTGTGAATGGAAGAAAAAAACCCAATCTCTTACACTGTCATCCTTGGGTCTCTTGGTGAGATCAAATGTAGCCAATGTTTCTGGTGTCCAATGAGCACTTATAGGAGGAAATTCAAAAGGTACAGGCTCTACAAGACCATAATTTGCTTTAAGTTCCAGTTGTGGGGCTTCCGATGGAATTTTTTGAAAGTAACTGCAAAAAGCAATTTATATAAACATTCATATATTCAGTAACTATTTGAGTGCCTAATATATCCAAGGCCTTGTTCAGGAAAATGACAATTTACTGATGAATAAGAGAGTTCTCTGCCTCACATAGATAAGTAACTGACAAAGTCAAGAAACCCTGTCAATTATAATGTGATGTAACTGGAGCTATGATACATGTAGAGTGCCATGAGAAGGCAAAAGAGGGGCAACCCAGATTTGGGGGTTCAGTGACTCTTTCCAAAAGAAGTCAATAAAAGTGAATGAGGCACATTTAAGGAAGTAAAAAGCTTGGTATGACTAGACGAAGAGTATGAAGGAAAGAACATAAAGGGATAAAAGCAAGGTCAAGATTAATTCTACCAACCTACATAGGTGGTGATCTAGTTTGAACAACATTGATTTAATATTGAAAAACCTCTTGAAAGAACCAGGAAAGACTAAGAGAAAATTAATCTTCCTGCTTTACAGGTAGGTAAAACCAGATATGCAAAGGGAGTTGAGAAGATACATATATTTAAAACATACAAAGAAAAACAGAGAAACAGTTAAGAGAAAATTAAGACAGTGTAAGACAGTATCCTAATGAAGTATACAGTATGTTAATAATTCATATGAGCTTTTATTAATATATATCATCAGAATAGAAAAAAAGGCCCTATACAATTGAACTTTATCATTAATTTAAAGAGAAAATTAATGCTAAACTTCAATGTCATTTAACATAGAACCTTTGGGAACAGAGACTAACAGAAACCATGACTAAAATATTAATATTTTAATGTAATTATAAATCGACATAATATTAGTATCACTAAAATAATATTAAGTTGTACTCACATAAATCCATTTTCTCTCTGACATTTTTCTAGAGTATTCTTCACAAGGTTTCCAAGTTTCCTAAAGAACAAATGTCCTGAAGGTTTGACTGTTGGTCCAGGTCCTTTGGTTTCTCCATATTCTTTACATAGTGCTTCTGCTTTTGCATAAACTGCATATGAAAAAGATATAAAGTCTTTTGATTATAATTAGCATTGCTTATTTATACTTAAAGGCTTTAAATCAGAGCTAGTAAGATTTTTACTGTTCTTTACCTAGTATAATAGCAATACCAATAATAATACTATTAGTCAAAGGTGGGTATGCTCTACAGGTTCTAGAATTTTGTTTTGTTTTATTCTGTTTTGTTTTTGAGACAGGGTCACACTGTCACTTGGGTAGAGTGCAGTGGTATCATCACAGCTCACTGTAACCTCAAACTCCAGGGCTCAAGTGATTCTCTTGCCTCAGCCTCCTGAGCAGCTGGGACTACAGGTGCATGCCACTACACCTCTATTTTTTATAGAGATGGGGTCTCACTCTTGCTCAGGCTGGTCTTGAACTTCTCACCTCAAGCAATCCTCCTGCCTTGGCCTCCCAAAGTGCTAGCATTACAGCTGTGAGCCACTGCACCCAGCCCTAGAATGTTTTTGAAACATTTTTTTCTTTTCTCCAATTACCTCACAAATTCCCATTTTCCTTTCATGAACTCAGCCAAAATCTCTTTAACAACCTACTCCCCTTTATGTTAAAACATTTATTTTTTAAAAGGGAGTTAATATTCTGGCAGGAATACTTACATTTTTCTGCTTCCTGGAGAGACCTGATTGCTTCACCACATTTGTCACTAGCCAATAAAGTCTGACCATAATAACAGTAAGCCTGACAAAATAAACAAATGTTTATTCATTCTCTCCTCACATGATGCTTTCCATTATTATTGTTTTATATATGTGTCACATAAACTAATGCCTTTATCCACTGTTTGAAGTCTCAATGCAATCTTTTACATTTCTTCACTTGAGTAAGCTTTTCCCCACCTCTGTTCATACAAAAGATGGAATCATGTCAAGCCTTGAGCCAAAATAGCCTTCTAACCATGTCCTGAGAATAAAAGATTTTTGCTGAAATCTGTACTTAAAATTAAGAAGTAGGAGATAAAGGAGAAAATTACTGTGCTAATGCAGAAGGAGAGGGAAAGAATATTCTCAAGTAAGGACTAAAGAGGTTTTAAGAGAAATGTATTAGCTTGGAAGTTTACTCTTTAAATGTCACGTCAATGTCAAGGACTGCACACAGTCTTACATAGTGCGCTTGAAAATAGATTATAAGGTATAAGAAACAAAAATATCCACTTAGACCTGAAAAAGGTTTTTGATGATCTCTCACGTGACATTCTAATCAACAAAACAACAAGTGTGGTGGGGAGAGCAGACTGATAAGTAACTTCCACAATGATGCCTACTGATGGTTCTTCACGAACCTAGGTGATGTACTGTATGGTATGGTTTAGATTAGAATTAGTAAATGTCTTTCTCATTGTACAGGATGAAGCCATTCAAAGAACTCTCATTAAGTATGCAGAAGGTTCCAGGCTGAAAGTGAGTTTTGAATCAAACAGTAATTCCACTGCTATAATCCAGTTCTACAAGTCCGCATCATCTCTGTCTACCCACTTAGTTCACAATGGCTGCGCTGTCAGTGAATATTTACTGAGAGCTGGCCATTATTGGTAAAATGCTAATGAAGAGTTTGGTAAGATGAGAGACCTGGGACTCCAAGGGCTGGAAATACAATGATTTACGTTGTTTTTAGGGTTATAAATACTTACATAAGCTGTGTAGAAACACATTTTCAAGTGAAGGTATTTTCTCCATTTAGCAGAATATGCAGGCTCCAAACTGGATAAAGTATGATCTAAAGTTACATTTTAAAAAGCAAAATATAATTTCACCCCGATTCACTAGATGACTTTTAGTTCATGTGTTCTGATGCTAAAGCAGAATGCCATCAAAGTCTAAACCTCAAGCATTTACACATTAGAAAACAAAAAACCCTTCTTAAAGTGATTTATTTTCCCATAACTATACTTTAAGCTACATAAGATTGGTTAAATACCAGAGTACCTCTTTGATTTGATGCTTAATACAACTTTTAAGTTAAAGATAATGCTAAAAATAGACTACGACCAAGAACTTCAAAGTAAATACTATTAACATGTATACTGTTATGTATTAATATATAAAACTTTATATAATATAGCAATGCAAAGAGTAGTCTAGTTACTCAAGTCAGAACCATGCAGGATACTCTCCTCTCATTCACCTTATCCATCACCCAATTTTCTATAACACACACACATTCACTCCATACCCTTCTGCCAAACATCTCTCAAATCTATTTCTTCCTCTCCATTTTCTACTTCACTGTCTTTGTCAAGCTTTCATCATTTCCTCCACAGACTATAAGATTTCTTCTTAAGTGTAAGGCAAGTCAGCCTACTACTCCTTCACATAGCTCATCTATAATACTACAACTGTAGGGGCCTTTCTTAAATTTAAATCCAATCAAGTCAGACTTATTTTTAATCGGTCCCAAGTATCTACAGAATAAAGGTCAAAGGCTTACAAGCCAATTCCTGATCACACACACAGATACTTTACCTACCTCTTCTCCTATCACTTATCCTGTGTTTCGGCTAAGAGCAACTGTCTCAAGGTCCCCATGTGCTAAGTTCTTTCTTATGCTTACTAGAGAATGCTCTACTCCCATACTGTAAAACTTCCTAGGAAATATAAAACTCCTATTAATATTTCACAATAAGGCTAAAACGTCATCTTCCTCTAGAAGTCCTTCTCAAGGATGCCCCAATTGTTTAGGCTTTTATTTAACTGCTATAATGTCTTACTTCATGATATGATAATGTGGTCACATGTTTATCTCCTTCCCTAGATTGCAAATGTTCTACTTATCTCTTTCTCAGCAACTAAAACATAGTAATCATCTCAAAATGAAAACATGCTTGTTTCCTAAACAAATGAATGAAAAGAACAGGCTAGTGAGAGGAACTGAGTTCTAGTCCCAACGTCTGGATTTCAGTTTCTTGTCTAAATAAGGATAATAACTATAAGGTTGTTATGAAGAACAAAAAAAGGAAAAAAGCTACATAATTACTTGATTATCATGGTTAAAAAGTACAGCATTGCCCATTCCACTGGAAGTTACACAGCATATTAAATGTGAACAGCTTTAATTCATTTATTTTAAACAAGATAAATATTAATAAATAATGAAGGTATTATTCCAGTTTTGCAAATAATAAAAGAATCTGAGAATCTTTTGGTTTTGCTTCCTATTAAGGCAAGAGCAAATAAATTTGAAAATCTAAAGACTAAAACTGTAACAAGAGAATTATAAGCTTACCAGCTTTTTGATAGAAATTGGCTGTTTCATAAGCCAATGCTGCAATTAGTGCAGGAGCATGTTTTAGTTCAATTGCTCGAGCAATGGTTACTGTAACCAAACACAACAAATTGAATTTTTAATTATGTTCACTTTCATTCATCCTGATTTCAATTTTAATAGCAAAAGACAATGACTTCTTGAGATTTTCATGCATTTTGTTAAAAGTTTTAATAAGAGAAAAGTTACAGAAAATGCAAACTTGAACAAAATAGCACAACATTGAGCTCGCTGGTTCTCATGCTATTTCTTTAAATAAATCACCAGCCAATTACTAGCTAATCGCAGAGAATAACTACTACAAAATCTAATGACATAATAGGACACAAATACTTTTTGAGGAGCACTGGAGTCTGAAATAAAGAAAAACAAAAGCCTACAGAAGTTTCTTTATTGTTTAACGTAAGTCCCATTATTTCCTGCCATTGAAAGGTGAAGACTTCAAGGTAAGCCAAACAGTGAAAGAGGAAAAAGAATGAGCATAGTAAAGGAGGAAAAGATGAGTTAAAATTTATATCGTCAGAAACAATATGAAATCAAAATCCTCTTTAAAAAAGCCATTAAACTGTAAGACCTTTCCCTGCCAAGAACTGAAGACAAATGCTAAAGGTGAACTTATTCCTCATTACAAATTTCTCAAAACCTGAAACTCAATTCCAGCTAATTTTGATCTTAAAAGAAGAAATAAATGCCAATACAGACTTTCTTTAAAAATATATATATATATGACAATATTTAGGATACCTTCTTGAGCTTCCGCCTGACACTGGATAATATAAGCTTCTATGAGCCGTGCCTCTAAATCCCTTCCCTTTTCTGCAGGTGTAATAAGTTTTGGGATATGACTTTCCTGAGAAAGAAAGAAAAACAAAAAACAAAGAAGCCAAAATTTATTTTAATCCAGTTGTTAGAGATGAAGAAAACAGAAATTATGAGACATTGAATTTGGAGACTTACCAAAAATTTAGGGGACAAACAAAAACTGCGTAAAAAATTGTAATAGTAAGCTTAGAAAGTATAAACGTTCCTATATACTAAAACTAAGCTTTTATAAGAACAAGAAATTCAAGAACAAAATTTGGGTCATAATAGATTGCTTAGATATGCAAGCCATACTTTCATCTTGAAAAACCTTTAACTGAATGAAATGTAAATAGTAACCAAAATTCTCTTTCGTATGATAGCCTGAATTGTTCATTCACATTAACAAACACATAAAGAGGGCCGGGCGCGGTGGCTCACACCTGTAATCCTAGCACTCTGGGAGGCCAAGGCAGGCAGATTGCTTGAGGTCAGGAGTTCGAAACCAGCCTGAACAAGAGCGAGACCATGTCTCTACTATAAATAGAAAGAAATTATCGGGCATGGTGGCGCATGCCTGTAGTCCCAGCTACTCGGGAGGCTGAGGCAGAAGGATCGCTTGAGCCCAGGAGTTTGAGGTTGCTGTGAGCTAGGCTGACGCCACGGCACTCACTCTAGCCTGGGCAACATAGTGAGACTCTGTCTCAAACGAAAGAAAGAAAAGAAAGAAAAGAAAAGAAAGAAAGAACGAACGAACGAACGAAAGAAAAGAACCTACAGTTCTACACCTAATCCAGAATCACAGCTTTTTAATCACTGTAAAAGCAACTTATTTTATCATTAAAAATCTAACACTGGCCTCCAAGAAGCCTTTAGTAAACAGTGGTTTAATTAGAATGAAGTGGGGGAAATTCTGTTTGGAAGACACATTATTCTTTCTTATAATCCCCCTATCACATCTCCAGGCAATTTAGTATAATTAGATTACACTGATTGCACCTTTCACTGACATACAGAGAATACAATCAGAAGTTCAGTTTTGTAAAATCAGGACTGCTCCTGGTAACTGCTGCAGAAGATATTAAAAAATGATAAGAACCACCAATTTTTCTTTATTTTTTCCTACCTTTTTGGAAGACACAAAAAATGAGCAGAGTATCACAATTTCAATTTTCTAAGTCATTGGTAATTTCAAGATTAAAATGGAGACATTTAATATTTGGTAATTAGCTGCACTCATCAATAAGGTATTTAAGAAACAAAAACAGAACACATACTAGCTCTTTTTACATAATAAAACAAGTCTTCCTCCATACTCCCCAAAAGAAAAAATAAAAATTTTTCAAGAATTAAAGCATTTATATGTATGTGTGTGTGTGTATACATATACATTTTTTTACCTTTACCTTTAAATGTTTAAAAATCCCAGCTGCAATTTTTAGACTTCGATGTACTTCTTTTGCTTCATCTTCTGTTATGCTTAAAAATAGCAATTACATTAGTTAGAGGATGAATCCCATTTCTGGTGTTAAAACTAACAATGAATACATAATCATACAACCAAAATTAGACATTTGTGTTTCTCTAAAAGACAGAAAACCACTATTTTTCTATGGTACCTATACTCATTGCTCTTATTATCACCTAACTTACTTACTTTAAAGATAATTTTACATCAAAACACACAATTTGACTTCATTTTTAAATGGTTGCATATTATTCCCATGTATGGATGAACCATGACTACTTTTGCCAATCACCATTGCTGTATTCATTTTAACTCCTTTAAAAATTGTGTTTCATTTTATTTTACAATTCTTTAATCCTTCAAAACATCTTTTCACATACTTATGAGCCCTTTGTATTTCTTCTGTGAACTACCTATTCATGTCCTTTGCTTATTTTCAATTGATTTGATAGTCTTTGATTTGTAAGCATATATATTATAAAAATAATTTATCACATGCATTGTAATGTTTTTGACCAATGTTGTCATTTGTTTTTAAACTAAGTTTATGGTATTTTTATGTAGTCAGATAGTCAATTTTTTACTTTATGGATTCTTGGTTTGGGGACTTATTTAGAAAGACCTTTCACAGGACAAGACTATTAAGATTTTTTTCCCTTTTATACTAGGCACAATTCTGACACTTGGAATACTAACATTATCAGGCAATCTTTCACTTGTCCAAAGTGGTACTTTTGATCATTTAGCCTAGTTTTTAAAAATAATGAAGCTCCATATACTTGAAAAATAACACAAATTCACATAACCTTCCCCTTTTAACTTACTTTTCTTTTCCAGCCAGTCTTGAAGCATATTTGGTATACCATAAAGCTACATTAAATGCCATGGAAATTAATTCAAAAACAGCATCCTGTTGGGCACTGGAATTATAAACATGATCGTTAAGTTCTATCAATTATTGAGACTTCACTACATAAAGCTTATTAGACATCCAACTCAAAATTACAAAATGATATGCTAACTAGTATATACGAAGAAAATGGTTCTTGTGTTTAATATAGTTATAGATATAACACGCATAGGAATTAACAAGGAATGGCTAAATGTAATGGTCTAGTATGTACTTCACAGTGATAAGCATGAGAATAGTAGTTGCCAAAGTCTATTATATATAGAGAGTAACTTTAAAAATACAGATTTCTGGATCTTAACCCTTAAAAGCCAGAAAGTCTAGGACAGGCCCCAGAATCTGTATTTTTAACAAGTATTCAGTTGATTCTGAAATGGGTGGTTCTTATATATTTTACAAAAATGGAATTCAGAAGAGAAATCATTTCAGGCCAGAATGATTAAAGAAGGCTTAATGGTATATATAAAATCTGAACTGTGTCTTGAAAGATGACTAGAAGGGAAGCAAAAGGACATCTCAGATTAGGAAATGATACTACCAAAGCACAAAAAAGTATAAGATTTTTCTGATAGAAGTGACCCGATGTCCCTGACTGGAGCAGATGGCATATAAAAAGAAATCAAAAAGGAAAAGAAGGGCAAAAATCATGCTGGAGTCAAACTATTTTTTTTTTCTTTCTTTTGGCCAGCCTGGGCAATATAGCATGGAGCCAAACTAAAGAAGATTTTGAATGCCAACCCCATGAGTATTCTACAAAAAGGTCTTGAAAACAAGTATATTTTACACCTTGTTTAGTTTCCTTCACATTCTGTTACTAAATATGACAAAGATGCCAAATGTATATTAAACAAGTAAGATATTAAGATAAATATCTATTCACCATTGTTCTTATAAGAACCTGAAAATTCTTTATATATTATCTTACTTAACCTGAAATGACGAGGAAAGAAGTAATATCCTTATTTTACATGTGTAATACTAAGATACTGAAAAGTTGAAAAGTACCTCAAAGGGAAGAAGAAATTAGAATCATGACTCTACTTTGTTTTTTTTTTTTGAGACAGAGTCTTGCTTTGTTGTCCAGGCTAGAGTGAGTGCGTGGCGTCAGCCTAGCTCACAGCAACCTCAAACTCCTGGGCTCAAGCAGTCCTCCTGCCTCAGCCTCCCGAGTAGCTGGGACTACAGGCATGTACCACCATGCCCGGCTAATTTTTTATATATATATTTTTAGTTGGTCAATTAATTTCTTTCTGTTTTTTTAGTAGAGACGGGGTCTCGCTCAGGCTGGTTTCGAACTCCTGACCTCGAGCAATCCACCCGCCTCGGCCTCCCAGAGTGCTAGCATTACAGGTGTGAGCCACCACGCCCGGCCATGATTCTACTTTGTATTTTATTTACTTGTAGCCCCTTTCTTAAAAGGAACAGAGGCCGGGCGCGGTGGCTCACGCCTGTAATCCTAGCTCTTGGGAGGCCGAGGCGGGCGGATTGCTCAAGGTCAGGAGTTCAAAACCAGCCTGAGCAAGAGCGAGACCACGTCTCTACTATAAATAGAAAGAAATTAATTGGCCAACTGATATATATATATAAAATTAGCCGGGCATGGTGGCGCATGCCTGTAGTCCCAGCTACTTGGGAGGCTGAGGCAGAAGGATCGCTTGAGCCCAGGAGTTTGAGGTTGCTGTGAGCTAGGCTGACGCCACGGCACTCACTCTAGCCTGGACAACAAAGCGAGACTCTGTCTCAAAAAAAAAAAAAAAAAAACCAAAAGGAACAGAGACATAGCAACTTTTTAGATTAACAATAAAATGTTATAAAATATGTACTCATTAAAATATAATTTATAAGCTGTCCTAGTATATATAATATACAAAAATGACAGTTATAAACAAACTTCTTAAAGTAGTTTTATCCCCTTCAAAAAAATTTAATAGTTTTAATAGCTTATTCTTTCGGCATTGAAAACTTTCAAATGAATTATATCTGGTGATATAGTGGGTATGCATAATTTATAACTGCACCTTTCAGTAATAAAAGAGTTTTGCTAATTTATGTGAAGCCTCAGTAATAATTCTCTCCTTTTTCATCCTTGATTTCTTTTTGGTTTTGTTTTCTTTTTATTTTTTGTGCATGGCCACCTGGATTATTTTTCTTTTCTTTTTTTTTTCTTTCTTGATTTCAATATGTTCCTAAACACTCCATTTCTATGACACCACATCTAAATAGTAAAGTATTTATAGTTGAAAAAATACTTTTCAGAACAGATATATACTCATAGTACAATTTCTACTGACTAAATAGCAATTAAGCATAAAGTAACTTAGAAGTCTCACACGTGCTGAGTATTCTGTATTACTTAAGGTCTCCATCACATAATTCTTCACTGTCTCATAAAACTGCTGAAAAAATCTTGAACAGCAGCTCACTGTTTCATGGAATCAAAATTTGGCATGATGGGAAAAAGTGCCAAATTTATGTAATGCAAAACATTATAGAATCTGTCAAAGTTTTATAATGTAATAATGATAAAGGTCTGATTCTTTAAAAAAAACCTTTTTAAATTTTAAAAATATTCCTTAATTTTGGATGAAAAACAAAGGTGTCACAGAAAAACAGAAAATGAGGTCATGGAACACCTTAGTATCCCAGAATATTAAAATCTGGAAAAAATTCATAGTCCCTACTTCCTACCCAATTTATTAATTCTACATATAATATTCCCAAGGAAGGAAAGAAACTAATATTTAATGAATGTCTTATTATATGCCTACCGTTATATTATTCACTTAAAATATATTTTATTATTTTGTTCCTCACAAAGTCCTATATCCATAACCTCAACATATAGTTGAAGCAGATGTTCCCCAGTAGAAAACCTGGGATTGCATCTAGATATGTAAGAATCTAATGTCCCTATTTTTTCCACTATAATGCACAGGCTGCCTTGGTCTTTCAGCAATCTCCAATTCCAACAGAAGCAAATTGAGATTAAAATATATGGGCACTTAAACAATACAATGATGTTAAAAAAGAATAGTTAAATATAAAATTAGCACCATTGCGATGTTTCCTGTTGTGATTAGATCTGTTATAAATAGTTTCGAGTGAGTGATGAGAAGGTTCTAAAGGGAAATTTTTTTAAAGAGCAGGAAGAGTGAAAAGAAAAAAGGAAGAAAACAAAATACTGTGAGTCAAGAGTATGGAGCTGGGGAGAAAAAGAGAGAGGGAGAAAGGCATTTGAGGTATCCACCAGAAAAAGAAAAGTAAGAAGAAAAAAACAAAATTCTGCTCAGCCTGAATGTAGGCAAAGACGGGAAGCCAGGTTTGGGTTCCAAATTCCCAAACCATTCTCTGTGTTATTAAAGGTCGAGGCTTTTCGATTTTAGTAGCATTTGTATTATCTCAAAAATAGATCTGGTCAGGAGAAACAAATTATATTTTTACATAATTGTATGTATTAGGATTTAGGTCAAATGCTTTTAATTAATTTCCTGGTAGGAGAAAATTATTTCAGATGTTTATTTTTCTTCTTCAAATACAGAGAGTTAACCACTAGCTAAGCAGTTATAAGAACTGGCTTCAATTTAGTAGTACATTAGTACTGCTTACCTTGGAACCTGTCCTTGTAATGTATCAGTCCACTTGAAATTTTGAATATATCGTAACTTGCTTTCTTGGGTAGATTCATCCAATGAATTTGTGAAACCTATAAAAAAAATACAAGATATTTTAGTTTTAGAAGAAATATTGAGAAAAATTTTCAGATAATTACTTTTCCCGGTGGTTGAATAGAAACTCCTCACCCCTCTCTCCCTTTCTATATCTCTTCCCTTCTCCAGACATAATATGAAGTATGGACACATTTAATTTTCAAAATGTTAGGAAGAAAACATACCATCCTAACATCCTTACATTTCTGAAACTCAAGCATATCAAAGAATATAGTCTGGAAGATCATTCAAATTTTAAAAGTCTAAGAATTAAATGTAAACTTCTGGATAGTTTTTTTTTTTTTTTGAGACAGAGTCTCACTCTGTTGCCTGGGCTAGAGTGCCATGGTATCAGCCTAGTTCACAGCAACCTCCAAGTCCTGGGCTCAAGCAATCCTCCTGCCTCAGCCTCCCGAGTAGCTGGGACTGTAGGCACATGATACCATACTCAGCTAATTTTTCTATTTTTAGTAGAGATAGGGTCTCGCTCTTGCTCGGGCTGGTCTCAAACTCCTGAGCTCAAGTGATTCTCCTACCTCAGCCTTCTAGAGTGCTAGGACTACAGGTGTGAACCACTGTGCCCAGCCTGCATAGCTTTTTAAAAGAACTCAGAAGTTCATGTAAATAACTAACCTTGTAAAAGTGAAAAATATGAATCTGCTGCATTCTTCATCATTTCTGGATTACAGCTCAAATCAGTGAACAGTTCAAGGAGGCGTGCCCTGGATGATCTCAAATCACTTACAGGGGATAGAAAGAGGCAGTAAATTAAGTATGCTGTATTACAAGAATCTATATAAAAGTGGCTTAAACTTTTCAGTGTAAAAGCTTTAAAACACAGACAGACACACACCTATCCTTACTTCCTCTAAAGTATTATAGGAGTATGCAGGAACTAATTTAGTTAAGAGTAACACTGGAGATGAATGAAATTTCTAATAATTGTTTTAAAAGCTGTACTAAAACAAACCCCGTCCAATTAAACAGGCAAGTGATGAATACAATTATGTAATAAAAATATATGGCAAGTTTTAATTTAAAAAAACAAACAAATGCATGCATTTACAGTGGGGGGGATTAAGAATAACTTAAAAACTAACCAGTTCATACGTTTTTTGAAAAATGGAAATGTAACATACTTGTGTATGATTTTAGTATCTCCTTAAAGTTTCCAAATTTGACATTACACACAAAATGTCAAAATATGCTTTAAGTCAAAAATCGTATTTTAAAAATGAAATATTTTATAATTCAATATATACATCAAGAATACGTAAAAAACGTGACCATTAGTTGTTAGAAAACCATTCCCTAGTCTACATTCTTTTTACTTCTCTGCAGCAATAAATGTAGATTTATTTCTTCCTTTTTGAAATTTTCTCCCTTGATTCCAGTAACACTTTGTTTTCCAGATACTCCTCTTATCACTAAAAGTTCCTTTTATATTTATTTTCTACGTCCTCTTCTTATTCCTAACTCCAGAAACATTTGGTCTTTGGCTTTCTGGTTTCTTTTTTTTGAGATTTCACCTATTAGCACAGCTTCAACTACATCCATTCCTAGATCTCCATCGTCACCTCTAACTTGGTTCTGTTCCAGTTCTATATCTAATCCAGAAGGCAATTAGCGTAGTGAGAGGTTCTAGAAATCACATTATGTGGACAATGACCAAAGACCCTTGAAATGTCTATAAAAGACTAAAAAAAGACTAAATTTTAATTGTAAGCACCAACAGGTACTGTATATCCAGAATTTAGTAGGTGCCTTGAATAAAGCATATACTCAAAATTATTTGTTGAGTGAAAGGATACTAACTTTTCAAATATTTTCTCTTGAGATTTAGAAGGGCTGTCATATGACAGTGATGTTCAGAAGAGAGCAGACTTAATTTTAAAAGATCTAGATGTCATGCTTATTCATTAGTACTATTAATAACTCTAAGGAGGCTTATTCCAAGAAAGTAGTATATATCAACAATTACATACAGCCAAAAGTAGGACAAGCTACCTTATGAATTTGTCATTATTTGAGGTATTTATCTAGAAGCAAGAAAGGGGTGATATGATTCCCGGACTAGGAATAAGTTTGAATCCTTAGGGCCTAGACTCAAATAGTTTGCCAGCTATTTCCCTGTAGGTGCTTGATCACCTATAGCCCAACTGGTATAAAATTATATTCACCTGAAATCATAAAATTTGAGAAAAATGTGACTTAGGAATATCTAATTTGGGCTGTATATTTTATAGATTAGGAATTAGGTCCAAAGAAGTTAAGGAACTTGCTCAATGCCACACATAAAAAGGCTAAGCTAGGCCCAGCGTCTAGGAGTCTAGATTAGGAGTTGGCAAAATACAACCTATAACTTGTTTTTGTATAGCCCACAGCTTATTTTGGTTCAGCCCTCAAACTAGGAATGTTTTTCACATTTGTAAAGGACTGTAAAAATGAACAAAGAATGTGTAACAGCAACTGTATTTGGCCCACAAGCTTAAAATATTAACCCTTCACAAAAAAGTTTGCTATTAGTCTAGATTAATAAGCCAATTTTCCTACCTTTTGTTCTAATCACTTCTTCCCATAAAAGCAGCAACTATCCTGATTTTCCTTTACTGGAAGCACCAATGTCCTAATCTAGCTTCTGTATCTCAAGCAGACTGAATCCTTTTCAACCTCCCAGAGCAAATCAGTCAATAAGGTTAGCTGACTCCTTCAATATATCTCTTGTATCTCTCTCTTTAGGTCCAGTCAAACTGCTCTACTCACCCTAGAACAAAGGTTTTTGAAAAGACTTTCTCCTTTCTCTTCTTTATCTAAATCAGGAATCCCCAAATACTTTCAGTAAAGGGCCAAACAGTAAATATTTCAGGCTTTTCTAGTAAAAAGGTATCCACTGGGACCATTCAACTCCACTGTTGTAGAAGAAAGAAGCCAGAGGCAGCCATAGACAATATGTAGATAAGTGTGTGGCTGGCTGTGTTCCAATAAAACTTTATAAAAATAAGCAGTAAGACAAATTTGCAGGACACAGTTTGCCAATCCCTGATCTAATCCCATATAATTTATTTAAGCCACAGCACAAGTCTTTTTTCTAATACTTTTAAGTCATAGGGATCTCTCCCTGCTTTGAACTCAATGACATTACAACCTGGTCAATAACAATGGCCATGTACTACTTTGTAGAGTCTCTTGTACTGTTATAATACACAGCTTAACTCTTTTATTGTGATGTAGCCTTTTTGGGACTCATTTTCTGATCTAAAATTAAGCAGTCTGGCCTACGTGACTGCAAAAGTTTCAATAATCTATTATTTAGCTCTGATATGTCATTCAAAAACTTAAAAGGAATTTAGAGTTAGGGACAGTGTGTTTCATATTTCTGTATTAACCATGGAACCTAAGAAAGTACCTTGTATCTAAGAGTGGTTCAATCATTACTTGTTGATTTAGACTAAAACTTACTTGCAAATTTTTGAAGCAGGAGGGCCAGCGGCTACACCATAGTAATTAAAAGAGACAGGAGCTGTAGCTTTTAATGGGTTCCTATGAAACCAATGGGTCATTTTCTCCAGATGCTTTCTATAGACAAAAAGATATATAAAAATTAAAACATTTAATAAACAATGTAAATAGTATTAAATTTGTTATTTTTAAAATAAAAGTTTAGGCCGGGCGCGGTGGCTCACGCCTGTAATCCTAGCACTCTGGGAGGCCAAGGCAGGCGGATTGCTCGAAGTCAGGAGTTCGAAACCAGCCTGAGCAAGAACAAGACCCCGTCTCTACTATAAATAGAAAGAAATTAATTGGGCAACTAATACATATATAGAAAAAATTAGCCGGGCATGGTGGCGCATGCCTGTAGTCCCAGCTACTTGGGAGGCTGAGGCAGCAGGATCGCTTGAGCCCAGGAGTTTGAGGTTGCTGTGAGCTAGGTTGACACCAGGGCACTCACTCTAGCCTGGGCAACAGAGTGAGACTCTGTCTCAAAAACAAACAAACAAACAAACAATGCAATACTTGACCAGTAACTTCTATCCTAAAAACAAAAATATCTGAAAAGCTACCTAAGTGAAATGCCAACTTAAAAAAATTAAGTTCCACACCTTTTAGGTTAAAAAAAAAAAAGCAATATATCTCTTGCCTAAAAGTCCCTGGGCAGGCAGTGCAAATAATACAGGAGAACCTAAGCAAAGACTTAAATATGGCATTTGATTCCAGGAAGTAATAGAGAAGAAACTCTGATAAAGTTTGCTTAATTTAAAGGCATGATACAAGCTTGTCAACCTTTCTTATTATTAGAAAAAAATAAGGGCTGCATAGTGTATGAAATACCTACATTAAGCACTTCCCTTACAATATTTATTTATTCGTGACAAAACTGGTTTTGGGGTGCTCAGATATTTAATAAATAAACGATGCACTGTGTACCCAATGAAAATTGAGCAGGTTCACTTACAACTAAAAACATTTAAAAAGTCCTTTTAGAAAATATCATCATCTAAACATCTTCCACATAAACCTTCTCAATAGCTAAATACAGCATCTACGTGCATATAAATCAAGCCTTCTAGAGATGTCACATTCGACACTTCTGTGAAAGCAAATTTCCTGCAGATACTTCTGTTATAGCAGTCTCCCACTTCCTGGATGTAAATGACGAAAGTCCTGTGTACCTTTACTTCAGGAAATGAAGGGGGCAAGCTTCTGTCCCTGCCTAATCTTTCCCCTTCTACGACCTAGCATTCTTCAGTTTTCAGGAATTCGTGGAGGTGGGTGGAAAAAAGACACAGCCACCCGCAGGTACGAGAATGCCCTTAGAGCTACCAGTACGGCATTCCGGTTGAGGGCGCAACCTGACGCACTTACACAGGACTCCACCTGCAGACAGGACGCCCCCACTCCGGAGCCCGGGTCCCCGGAGGAACCTACCTGAGCACCGCCCCAGAGATCTGAGCATGCACTTCCTGTTTACCACCCAGCCTCTTCCTCCCGTGCCCAGCCCCCTTTGGAGGCGGCAGACGGCGACCTTGCGCACGCGCCAACACCGGCGCGTCACTCATTCTTAACAGGCATTTTGGTGGAAGGCTGACACTATCGACCCAGGGGAGACGGGCAGACGATGGCCGAACAAACCCCTATTTAGCTGGCATTATACCATCTTCAAGCTCCAGTGGAGACTCGGGGCAAGGGGGTTTGGTGGATCTAGCTGTTAACACCACTGATTTGTGGGGATAATATGGATTTTCCTTCTATTTTTCTTTCAAGGCATTAGAAGACTTTTGGGCCACTATCCAGGGGTCTGTGGAGACCGGTGTAAAAGGGGTGACCCTATTTACTGGGACTCCGGAGAAACGACGGGGGCGGATATTACTGGGAAACTCCCGTCCTCTGACATACTTACCAGATTCTTCAGAGTCTGTACAGCAGCCCTCCTGAGGGAGGAAAGGCAATATCGGAGCCTGCAACAAAAAAGGAGGGTGTCAGAGAAACGAGACTACTGAACTAGAGCGTCTATAAGCCGGACCGGCGCCGAGCCGGAGTCACGTGGCCTGGCGGCCATGACAGCTACGGAGGCGGCAGTGCTCGCCTCTCAGGGGTGGGGTTTGCCGCGAGTTCTCAGCCCCCTAATAACGCTCTGTTCATCAGCCCTCTCTAATTTCTCCTCCTTGGTCCTTCCTCTCGAGCTGCGGCCTCCTCCCCAGAGAGGAAAGGAGTTGGCTTGGGCTCTTGAGCTGAGGGAGGATGCCGCGATAGAGATGGCGGCCCCGGGTGCAGTGGGGCGGCCTCAACCTAGCACGGGGCGGGGCTTGGGGGCGGGGCCTAGGCGGGGCGGTCGCTTCGCAGCCGCCAAGTTTGGCTGTGGCGGCAAATGGGCTTGGGCGGCTCCTCGGCGGGTGGCGGCGGTGGCCGTAGCGGGTCCTGCTGGCCCTGTTAATGTCGGGGCCAGGCAAGGGGAGGATGGCGCCCTAGAGCCCAGCCTTGCTAGGGAAGGGGCGGGAGGGCGCGGGGTGGGGACCGGCCATGTCGGAGGTGACCCGGAGTCTGCTGCAGCGCTGGGGCGCCAGTTTCAGGAGAGGCGCCGACTTCGACTCTTGGGGCCAGCTGGTGGAGGCGATAGACGAGTATCAGATGTGAGTGACTAACCGCGGGAGCGGGCCGGACCGGCTCCTGCCGTCCGCCCCCCTTGTTTCTGTCGGTGTCTCTCGTCGCCGCGTCTGCGGCCGAGGCTCCTCAGGGTGGGGCCCCGCAGGCGCTGGGCTGAGACCGCACTGGCCCGGCGGGGCTGTCTGGAGACGACGGGTCGGCTCTCCGGGTGGCTCGCCCTCTTTCCCCTCCGCCTCCGCGGAGCCAGTGCCATTCAACAGGTAGCTCTTCTTTCCTGGGCGCCGGCCCTCACGGGCTACCTGCTTGTTCCTTCCCGTCGTCTCACGGGTGACGGCGGGACCCCGCTCGGCAGTCAGTTTCCTTTCCTCCACTTCTCCCAGGTTGCCACCCTCGATTTCTCTTCTAAAATCTCTGAGGAATTCTTGTGTGTTCTCCGCCCACGTTCCAGAGACGAGTGGCCTTGCTCTGAGTGTGTCTTCCTCCTCCCATGTGCAGGAGATGAGGGGACTGGTTGCTGTTGAGGGGAGCGGGTTTCCCCGCGAAACAGCGAGGGCCAGGGATGCGTCTCCTGCCAAAAGAAGGGTCCCCTCTCGCACTCCCCTCTTCTGGTGAGACGTGTTTTCACAATTCCACCTCGATTTTGTTTCGGTTTCTCGGCTGTTATTTGGTAGGCTGTGAGTCCCACCCACCCCCTCGCCCGGTTGCTTTGGGTGGAGTCCGCGCAGGATGTGAACAGAAAAGAGCAAATTGTGAATTAGCAGACCACGCACAGGAGCCACCACTGCCTCCTTGGGTCCCTCCCCCTTTTCCTGTGTATAATGTATAGCCTCAGGGTACATGAGAATACCTGTTTCCTTGATCTACCTAAGTCCAGATTTCTTCCCCTTTCTGGTTTTCCCAGCAAACTTAAGGGATGTTTTTAAAATTAAAAAACAAGACTATAATATATAATCGTGCTTAGTTTCTTGCACATTTGACTGAGTATAAGAACTGCCTACTAAAATGCTATTGTTTGCAAACTGTCGCCATTAATTATTTAATCTTGGTTTAGAGCAAGTTATTGTTTTAGGTTTCACTAAGTATGAAACCATGTGTAAGTAACCCTCCCTCCCCCTTCTGGAAAGAATATATGATTGGTATTTGGAAGATCTAAACTCTTATCCTCTTCCAATAATAGTTATTTGTCTTTATCTGGCCATTAAGATAATTTAGATGTGCAGGTGTTTCCTCTACCCAATCTTACTGACTTTGAATTGCCTGTAGTTTCAAAAAGCCCTGGAAGCCACTATGCCCTGGGCCATTTTGCCATGTGTAACAACTACCAGCGTTTGTTTTGCACTTGCACTTTCATATGATTTCATTCGCTCTTGCAACTACCCAGTGAGAATATAATTATTCTCATTTTACAAAATGAGGAAAATTGAAGCTCAGTTTAAGCAGATTACCCTGGGTCACAGAATGATACCACTGAAATCTGTTGTTGTTGTTGTTTTTTATTCCAAATCCTATCTCTTCTACTACATAGTGCTTTAGATGCTTTATTTAGACTAATTCTGTAAGTGAATTGGACAAATTCGATTTTTTTGATTACTGAAGAGCATAACCTTCCATACTGTAGTCAGTTAGAGAACACCTGTGCATACTCCTTCTGTATGTTAACTAAAATTGCATAGCTTGAAATATAAAGCTGCTTCTTAGTTGTATGGTGGGACCTAACAGCTGTTGGCACTGGGCAGTGGACCTCACAATGGAAAGTGAAGAATACCATGTCCAATTGAAATTACAAAGGAATATTGATTATGCAAGCTGTTTAGTTGGAATTTTTAGAAACATCTGAATGAGGATAATAGGCACATGCAAGTGCATTGTTGGATCTCAATGCTAAACTTTGAACTTCAGGATTCAAAGTAGTCCTCAAGTTATTATAAAAATTGCCAGTATTGAATTTCAATACTGATAAGTAATGATTGGCTTAAATTTTGTAAACATACAGGTTACATATAAAATGTGGTCAAAAGTTTAAAATTATCTAATGTCTCTAGAAATAAAGGCAAATTTTCTTTTTTATTTGAAATATGCGGGAAGAAAGAATACTAGAGGTTGAACAATTTCATCAACAAGCTGGGGATACAAAGATTTTTGCCCTCAAAACACTGAGATTCTAATTGAAGGTTTTAGAGTAATTGGGTATTGCAATTACAGATATTGCAGTTACAGACATGAAAAACATTAAGTGCAGCCATAGTCCTATTCCCTAAAGCACAATTCTGCCTTAGGATTTTTGTATTTTTTTCCTGGACCACTCTTGGGTCTTCTTGGGTCACTTGGTCACCTCCTTCAGGTCTTTGTTCAGATATTATCTTGTTAGTGAGGTTCTTTCAGGCCACCCTATTTAAAATCACAAAGCCTCCTGTCTACCTCCACCTCCTTTACCTTGGTCTCACACATCTAACCCCCATCCTGCTTATTTTTTTCCATAGTACTTATAATCTAAAATATATCTAAAATACATTGTATTAATACATATTTGTTTTTGTTTTTGTTTTTGTTTTTGTTTTTTTTTTTTGAGACAGAGTCTCGCTTTGTTGCCCAGGCTAGAGTGAGTGCCGTGGCGTCCTAGCTCACAGCAACCTCAAACTCCTGGGCTCAAGCGATCCTTCTGCCTCAGCCTCCCGAGTAGCTGGGACTACAGGCATGCGCCACCATGCCCGGCTAATTTTTTATATATATATCAGTTGGCCAATTAATTTCTTTCTATTTTTAGTAGAGACGGGGTCTCGCTCTTGCTCAGGCTGGTTTTGAACTCCTGACCTTGAGCAATCCGCCCGCCTCGGCCTCCCAAGAGCTAGGATTACAGGCGTGAGCCACAGCGCCCGGCCTACATATTTGTTTTTTTTACTGTCTCTCTCCCCACTGGAAGGTAAGCTTGCTGAGGGCAGGGTATGAGGGTGGAGTGGGTTGGTGGTGTCTTGTTCTCTATAGTGTCCAGAGTAGTACTAGGCTAACCATACATAGCTGTTTATTTAAATATTATATAATTATTCTATTGAATGTATGAATTTAGGAGTATGTTGTTAAGGAGTTGATGCCAAAATACTATTGGAAGATTTAAATGAATAGTGTCAAAACTAAAATTGTTATCCAAAATATAGATGGTCAATTAAAAGTAACTCCATTTAGCAGGCCACCTCTTTCAGTGACCTGGGGATCCACAACCCCTAATATATGGTAGAGTGATACAGGAACTGTTGCTCAGAATCACTCATTTCACAGGATCAATCCCAAGGTATTTAGCACATGGATGCTCAATAAATATCTGTTAAATGAATGGATGAGTTTAAAGACTGGATATTACCGTTAGTCATCTTTACTATGCTTTATATCTCTGCTACTTAAAGTGTGGTCCACAAATTGGTGCTGGTTTGCAAACTGTTACTGGTCTGTAACAAGATGAAGAAAGAAATTGAAAATAAGCATTTTGAAACTTTACAGCAATTTGATGTCTTCATGATATTTTTTAAATTGTATTTTACAAAAGTATTAGCCTGGAACAAATTAGGGGGAAAAGTTTTCCTTAACTACAAATAGTTTGAGAAGCACTAATTTCTGTGTCATGAAATGCTGTGGTGTTTCCAACAGTTACTTGTTTATGTGTTTAAAGCCTAGTTAAAACCGTCCCTTGAGAATAATCCTGTTTTACTTGTAGGCACCATTGTAGGGTGAGATGAGTCTCTGGAGAAGAATATTTGACAAATTTATTTCACTTTTACTTATAGAATGTCAGCTCTTATTTGCTCATCTTACATCCTTAGCATGTAGATTTTCCCTCAGTGAACAAAATCAGATCTTACTTTGTGAAATGATGTACTTTTTTGTGGATATAGAAAATTAATTTTTTGCCCAGGCTTTAAAACTCTTTTTTTATTAAACAATTTTATTGAGGTATAACTTATATACTATGAAATTCTCCCGTTTTACTTGTGTAATTTAATGATCTTTTAGTCGAATTTACCAAGTTGTGCAACCATTACCACAATCAACTTTTACAACATTTCCATCACCCCAGAAAAGATCCCTTTGTGCCTATTTGCACTCCATATTTTCACTTTAGCCTCAGACAACTACTAATCTACATTCTATCTCTTTGGATTTGTCTTTTCTGGACATATATGTAATTTGAATAATACAATATGTAATCTTTTGCATCTAGCTTCTTTAGCATGTTTTTAGGGTTCATCCGTGTTGTAGCATGTATCATTATTTTGTTCCTTTTTATTGACGAATAGTATTGCATTGTATGGATACATGACATTTTGTGTATCCGTTCACTAGTTGATGGGCATTTGAATTATTTCTACTTTTTGACTGTCATCAATAATACTGCCCTGAACATTCATTCACATTTTGAATGAATGTCTTGTCTTTTTTTTTTTTTTGAGACAGAGTCTCACTCTGTTGCTGAGGCTAGAGTGCTGTGGCATCAGCCTAGCTCACAGCAACCTCAAACTGCTGAGCTCAAGTGATCCTTCTGACTCAGCCTCCCGAGTAGCTGAGACTACAGGCATGCGCCACCATGCCTGGCTAATTTTTTCTATATAATTTTAGTTAGCCAATTAATTTCTTTCTATTTTTAGTAGAGGCGGGGTCTGGCTCTTGCTCAGGCTGGTTTCAAACTCCTGACCTTCAGCAATCCTCCCGCCTTGGCCTCCCATAGAGCTAGGATTACTGGGCTGAGCTACCACGCCTGGCCTGAATGTCTTTTCATATGCTTATTTTTCCCTCTGTAAGTCTTGTTTGTGAAGTGTCTGTTCAAATGTTTTACTCATTTTTAAATTGAGTTGTCTTTTACCTAGTAAGTAAAAAAAGTTCTTTATATATTCTAGATATGTCTTTTATCAGTTATATGACCTGCAAATATTTTCTCCTAGTCTGTTGCCTAATTTTTAATAACAAGATTCAGTTTGAGGGTAGCATCCTTCCTTTGTACTGACTAGTTAGCATTTGAGCAGTTGTTTAGAGCTATACCCTTTTTTCTGACTATGATCCTGCTTAGGTTGACAGCCACCGTTAGCAAATTATGTGTAGAATTATTGAAATAAAGAAACTCATTTCACACTGTAACTTCCCTGAATTCAGGAATGTGTAGTTGTCATTGCTAAGAATACACACTGTGTTTTCCTTAAGAGTACTCTGTATAGGTGTTAGGCCAGCAAGAGTTAGAAAAGAAACCACATACAGAATAAAGACAATGGCTATATATGTTTCTATTTGTACTTTCTCCTGTATAGAATTCATCAAAAGTGAGTCTATGAATGATATTTTAGGAAAAAATATTATGGGGTTTCCAGCTTTGGGAGAAAAGAAAGAAATGGGTGGCAGCAGTTTAATTAAGTAACATAGTAGAGCTATTTTGTCAGAATTTGTTTCTGATAAGGACGATGCAAACTTTTCATATTGGATAAACAATGATGAACTTTATGCCTAATCTTTAAAGACATCTCGAAGAACTCCCATCTAGTACTTTTTTTCCCCAAACATGAACTGTCTTCTGCAATGGGCTTGGTAGAAAATCTAGCACTTGCTACTCT